TGGGAACGTCGCTTCAACTGGACCGGAGGAAGAGACCCGATGAGGGCAGGAGGTGGGTCATTTTCCCATTCTAGCGCTATAGCTCATTTGGACGAGGGACTTTTCAGACTCGCCCATCAGGAGAGATATCGACCTTGATGGGCCGGAGGAAAGAGAAAGTACGATTCGTCCACTTGGGAACGTCGCTTTCAACTGGACCGGAGGAAGAGACCCGATGAGGGCAGGAGGTGGGTCATTTTCCCATTCTAGCGCTATAGCTCATTTGGACGAGGGACTTTTCAGACTCGCCCATCAGGAGAGATATCGACCTTGATGGGCCGGAGGAAAGAGAAAGTACGATTCGTCCACTTGGCAACTGGACCGGAGGAAAGAGACCCGATGAGGGCAGGAGGTAGGTCATTTTCCCATGCTAGCGCTGTAGTTCATTTGGACGAGGGACTTTTCAGACTCGCCCATCAGGAGAGATATCGACCTTGATTGGGCCATATGAAAGAAGTAGTATGATATCTCATCTTTTTTCTAACGAATTTCCTTTTCATTTGGACCGGGCAAGAAGAGAACCCAATAAGGGTGTGATGAGCAGGGTACGGTCATTTTGTCTTCCAAGCGCTACAAATCATGTGGGAGGAGGTTTTCTTCAGACTCGCTGTCCAAGAAGGATACCGACCTTGATTGAGCCGAAAATTTTTCTGGATATTTGTCCTTAAAGGACGAATTCACGATGAAAAAGCAACCCATTTCAAATTAACCTAGGGATGGTGAGTGGTACACGAAAGAAGGAAGAACCATGAGAAACGGCCCAGAACCCGAGAAATGGGACCCCTTCCTTGCCCGTTGATTTGAGCATTGATGCGACTCTCATCGCTGTGCCCTCTTCAACACTACGCTCTCTCAGCTATCTAATCACTCGCCACGTATTGAACTACGGCGAGTGATCAGATGATCGGTGGGCGGAGATCGCCGGACCCGCCAGCTTTGAGGCATGATAGGTCGCCGAGGTCAAATTTTTCCATGCGAATTGCGCGTCAGTTCGCACCCTCAGGAGGTCCGTGGGTCCCTCAACTAGGTCAGTTTCCCTTTCTTCGACCTTCATTCTAATCGTGAATTCCTCCTTTAAGCAGTGAAGTAGCTACCGATTATACAGGACAAGTGTGGGAATGGAATGATTTCGTGAACCGATAGCATTGATTCTGATCAAAGTTTTGTTTGATCGTATGTATAGAGGGACCAGTCGTATCTATATATAGATCGTATCATAATAGAGGGACCAGTCGCATCGCCCGGCTACGCCGGGCTCGCAGTCGGAATGCCCGGCTGACGCGGGGCATTCCTCCCATCCGCACACGTCGTATAGCACCCATCGATTTTAGATCACCCCTCCCCCCCCCCCCCCTCTCCGATTTTGCGTTCAATCCTCTTTACCGCGTACTCAAACTGCATTTATACCGTGCCATCTTCGTCAGTTCTTGGAGCGATGGACTCCTCTGTTATCTGAGTACGTAAGTCTCACAAAAGTGGCATGTAGCGTTCACCTCTCTCACTACGTTTTCTTGCCATCATTCCCCATCAGAAATCAATATCTATTTCTATAGATGTGGAATGATGGCAAGAAAACGTAGTGAGAGAGGTGAACACTACATGCCACTTTTGTGAGACTTACGTACTCAGATAATAGAGGAGTCCATCGCTCCAAGAACTGACGAAGATGGCACGGTATAAATGCAGTTTGAGTACGCGGTAAAGAGATTGAACACAAAATCGGAGACCGTGGGGGGGGGGGTTGATGTAAAATGGATGGGTGCTATACGTCGTGTGCGGATGCTCGAAGTATGAGCAGAGCCCACCGTAGCCGGGCGATGCGACCAATGCGTGTATATATTGTGAATATGATACACCATCTCATTGACACTACCATGAGTGACTAATGTCCGAGTTTGTGATCCTCATAGATACTATTTCAGACTCGCGTCGTGTATGGCGATGAACATGGAGTGATGGGCCAGTTGATATCAGTATACAAAGTTGATTGTGTGATCAAAGTGGCAGAGGACAATATGCGTTTGAGTTCACTTGAGGGGTCTCATCCGGAACGGGAAGGGGCATGGCGGCTCAGGGGCGTGACGCTTTTAAAACCATGAAAACCATACTATTCCAGTGTAACCGTTTGGGACTAAGCCTCAGAAGGGAGGGAGACCCCGGCGTCCGTGAGCAATCTTGGTTTTCCCTCGGCGAGACTTCCTCCCTTTTCCTAGGCTTAGTCCTGGCTGCTCACTAGGTGAATATTACTTCTCGTAGACGTTAATGTCATCTAGTACAAGAATACATACATTACACAAAACACCTGAAGAAATAAATAGGAAAAAAGCTGATAGCAGCTCGTAACTTTAAAGGACTCCTTGAGCCAAATTGGCATTAGAGCAGACGTGCACCGCAATGCCCCCTCTTACCGGATGAGACCCATGAGTACTGTGGTAAGTTCAGCAAGCGTAAACTTCGAATGTTCCGTCCAATAGCGGGCTTTTCGGATTGTATTCATCTGTGCAGTAAAGTGGTAAGTAGTAAAGTATCGAGTAGAAAAATGTGCCAACTCGTAGGATCGTCTTCTAGAATATTAGATCGCCTCTATTCATATCTTTCTGACAATTGTTTTACTTCGAACCGTCAAAAGTGTATGATATGTAATAATATTTAAGTCTTAACACCAACCTATGTACAAGTGTATGCTTTGTTCTGTCTCTCCTATGCTTAGAGTACTCATATTATAATGCTTAATTTTGAAGACTTTCTTAGTAAAATTGCACGTAATAAATCATGTCTCTGAATAAGTTTGTTGCTGCTGCCTAAAAAAATCTAGCTCTTCTGGTCGTCTGTGGCGCTTTGAGGTATTTCATTTTATTCGGCTCTGACTCCTGATGTAAGGCTTTTTAGGACTGATTGAAAAGATTCAGAAGAACGTTACCGTACCTGCGCTGTCAAACACAATTGCAAATTAGAACTGTCCACCCAAAACGCTGATGATGAGAACAATGAAGACCGGAGAAACATGAACTGCGCTCATTCTTATTAGTGGTCAACGACAATGTCTACTGAACCTAGACTTATCTAGATGCGAAGAATCCAAAATAGAGCTGAGGCTTCTGATCGAACATTACTGGTGCACGTTCTACTGGACTCGTGGAAACAAAGGGGCCCCAACCAGGGTCGACGGACTACTTGAACTCGGTCCTTTGAACCGCCTCAATTTGATGCTCGCGCCTGCGCTCTCGGCGTGTCCCTTCCCTCTCTCAGGTTTAGTCCTGAAGCTTCCACTCGTTCTCTAATCATCTATGTTCTAGCCATTTACGGCAGAACATGGGGGAAAAATCAAGTAGTCCATAACCCCCCCCCCCCCCCCCAATAGCAAAGGATCACCTTCGAGCAACGCCCCCAGCACGGGACGTGTAGAAAAACCTATTCAGTGAATGGGACAGAGTATATCACAGATGTGACGTTGTCGCGACTCGAA